CACAATCGTACAAATTAAGAGGGGAGAGAGAGAGAGAGAGAAAGAGAGAGAGAACACTACTGAGAGAAGCATTAATAATAAGCCACCAAGTATTAGTTCATATATTTACTAATAATATTTTGACCAGCATGTTTCAAATCTCAACATATCTAGCAGATATATGTAAATCAGCATGCTTTCTTTTCCTTCTCCATATATTTTTATGAAGATCCGGAGGGTTATATGAAATAAATTTTAAAGATTGCACTGGGGTTAGCCTCATTCCATTGGGGTTACACTTTTTTTAAAAGCTGTAGACAAGATACAAATCAAAGTCATATTTCATCTTTGATGTTGAGCTTGGTTCCTTTTAAGATCTGTAAGGGGGGGTGCTGTTTATTGAGTGCTACGATTGTCTGGCAGCAGCTTTCACATTTAACTTCAGCAGTCACCGAAGTCCAGCAAAATTAAAATAAAACCAACCAACTAATTGAACAGTCCTTGAACAATTCCAAACTAATGAATTTGACCTCAATTTCTTCCATAACTTTCAAGGTACCCACACATTTTACCACTTGAAGGAATGATTACAACAGTATCACATCTGAAAAACACGATCTCTTTTAATTGCTGTTAATCTTACTTATGCCACACAGTTTCACCAGAGATTTCAGGTCATTTTTACATTGTACTAATTGTACGGATACAAGTAAGCCTACTCATTCGATTTTCTGCTGCGGATAAGAGTTTTGCTGTTGGTAAAGCTCAGTAAGGCAGACGACAGCTGCCTTAATCATCAGAGAGGCAAAAAAAAACCCCAAAAAGTTTCAAAAGCAGTTTCAGGGGCTGGGACCCTCTTCCCCAAACCGCTCTCATGTCCTTCCTCAAAACGTGGATCTGAAAGTCCATCCCAGAAAGCCACCACGGAATTATCAAGGGTAGACAAGCTCACAAACAAAATCAAGCAAAAAGAAAGTAGCGATTACCCATTCCAGTCGACAAACATCTGCCTGATTGATGTCTGTGCTCATGAAAAGCTACAGCATGTGACTGTTCCGCGGCCACATCCCTGGAAGTCTTGAGTGGTGTGGATGTCGGCTTCCCTCCGAATGCGAGCTGAGAGGCTCTGCGCTCGGCTTACAACTCCCCTCCCCCGGCAGCTCCATTACTCATGTAAACACGGCAGTGACTAGCACCGAGTGTGTGGGATGAGCTCTGAGCACTTCGCTGGAGCTGCCAGACTGGCAGGGAGGGATCTGCTCTCTCCACCTCCCCGCGGGGTTGGTGATTTCATCGGGCCTGTTCTGTGGCTCCTGACCTCTTGCTCCTCTGTCGGAGCAGCGTGATGCCACGTTCCACGAATGTGACACGGGCCTCAGCCTGGAGCCAGGGCGTGGACTGTTTTGTTTAGGAGATGGAGTGTAGCACAGAAGTGTTTCCACCACGAACCCAAGTGCTAAGACTTTAAAGACTTTAATGACCTCGAGGGAAGGATACACTTTCATGTCCCTTATCAAAATAATAGCTGAGCAGAAAATAGACAGAAACAAACAGAACTCGAGGGAGCGGGTCTGAGACTTTTCATCAGAAGACACAGAACAATATCGCCTCTGTTCTAGGGCTTGCTGCTATGATCTTCCCCTCCTAGCATTTTGACGAAAAGCACTTAAAACTAAAAGGCATCTATTTCCAGAAAAGCTTTCAAATCCCAAAGGCCTTTTTGAAAGAGAACTTGCTTTGAACATGCTGATTTAAATACTGAAGGCGAAGGTTCCAGGAAATGACACGAAGTCAGCCCAGAACTAAGTCTATTTTCTGTATTCTTTGAGCTGTTTTCAGATCCCAGAGAAGCACATGTCCTGCCCCGGCAGATTCTAAGAATTACAAATTTAGAACAGACTGGCACCTAATATTCTGCAAACCTAAGCTGTAAATAGAATGTGATCAAGAGGAAAAGCCTTTGTTGGGACATGTCCATGGTCCTTTAGTTACTTCAGGTACAATTAGGCAAATTCTACTAGTCACTCAAGGCGGGAACTCAGGTCTCTCTTTTAGTCTCCCCTCTGAACTCTTTCTCTGTTCTCTCATGGATTGTGTCACTGGGTTCTTCGTATTTGAGCTGTGTTTAAGCTTCTCAGACTGGACTGGATGGTCCTTAAAGGTAGGACTGTGTCCATTTATCTTTCATCTGTCCCAGCACAACACTCAGGAGCAGCATTGCATAACACAGATTTGTTGAATGAAGAAGTGACTAATGAAAACACAAATGCCAACGTATTTTTTGCTCCCTCATGAGCTGGACCCACCAACCTGACCATGTGGCATACTTGTCCTTCTGGGCACCTGTAAAACCACATTTGCCTTTATGAGTTACAGTGATATTCTGGGAACATGAGCCAGTAATGTGGGGATACACCAGGAAAGGGATAGGAGGCCTCAGACTTTAGTTCCTGATTACTCTTAAGCCTTTGCATTGGGCATCTAGGCAGGGCCACAATCTTGCCCCACATGCAATGCAGAAATGCAAAAACATCCGTCTTGTGATACTGGTGTACTCAAGACTGGATAGGAGTCCCCATAGTACAAATGGAGTCCTTTTGGATGCATAGATACCACATAAAACTTTGGGATTGAGAGACTGGCTTTGGGGAATAGCAAAAATTCTGGTTCCCTGGCCACATCTTTGTTCCTCTATGGTGATAAAACAAATCACTTGCTGTGACTAAAAAATAAATATGCTATTGCATGTGGTGGTCAGGGATTTGGATTTTAATTCATTCACCTATTAAACAGCCCTAGTATGTCCAGCCACCCTGGATGGATGTATACCTGCCCTCATCTGAAAAGCCACATTCTGGGGTCCTACTGAGACCCCTAAGGCCCTAAGACTCCAGCACTGGAGCAGCTCTGGTATTGTACGTAAGATGGGCATCCAGCACCAAAGCTCTGCTGAGAAGCCAGCAGCACATTCAGTGAAACACACCTATTTCCGTCAGTTCTACTTTAAACAAATCACAGTGCAAAGCAATAGAGGCACAGCTACTTGCACTTGTGTATATATAACCCATTGTCCAGCCCTGGCCTGGCTCATTGGAGGGTTCAGTGAGTGCTCTGTGCAAGAATGCTTTCAACATTACACTTACATAACAAGCTATGGTCACATTTACTGGGGACTTGGTGCCAGTGATTATTCTGAGTGCTTTCCAAGCAATAATTTATCTAAAACTCACAATAGTTCACTGAGGAAGGCACAGTCTTCATCCCATTTTACAGACCAGAAAGCTGAAATAGCAGTGAAATTACTTGTAACATGTCATGTAATTGGCTATTGGCTGTGGGATGCCAACCCAGGCAACTGGGCTTTATTCAGAGTCCCTGCTTTAAGCACTTTCTGCCTAATAAACACACACACACACACACACACACACGCTCTCTCTGCTTCATAATGAGATATTCATATTAACTCCAGCTGGCAGTCATCAGGGAGCTTTTCCCAAATGAAAACACTCTCAAATACTACACAGTGCCCATCCCAGCAAGCAACAAGCATCGCACAGACTTGGCAGAGTACAGGGTCCCACTTAGTCCTGACTCAGCGGTAGGTGACATGACTTCCACTAAAGCCACGAAAGCCTTGTGCACATTACCCTTTTCAGTGGGCCTCCAGCTCTTCTGCCTAATCTGTGAAAGATCTCTGCTTTTAAAAGAAATTCTTTCCTCTCTGACCGTCCATCTGTTCCTTTTCCTCAGTGCCAAGAAATTAACGAGTATTCACCTTTGTGAAGTCACTACTATTTCTATAGGTGTTAATCCCCAGAGATTCAAGCTACCTCCAGTGTTCCCGTCCATGCTGACAACTAATCCACTTTTGTGCTATTGTTTTCCTTTTTAACTCCTTCAAATATTAATGAATTACAGTATATTTTCTTGACAACACAGCAAAACGAGTTTGTTGTTTTTGTGAAAAGGTTTATTAGATCAGAGACCTGGGCATTCCTGTGTATATTTATTTCACTATGGGGTTCAGACAAGTTATGTGTTTTGGGCAGAGCAGGTGTGGGAAACTTTCATGTCAGCCCCAACTCTTGCAATAATCATAATAAAACAAAGGAAATATAACCAGTTACTGGCAAAGTAAATTGCTTTTGGCTTAAATGTTCCTGTTTTTTTCTACTGTGTTCTTCCTGTCATGACCATCTCTCTCTTTTTTTAATAGCATTTATGCTCTTGGAAATACCACCAAGATAAACTGCTATAAAAGCTGGATTGACTCATCAGTTAACAACTCTTTCTTCCCATTTTGCAGAGAGGACTTTGCTGCCAACAC